GATAATTAAACTTAATCCTCTGAACTGATTTGCACTACTCTTCACTCGTCAGAGCATCATTATAATGTGCTAAATAATATTTCTTTCTGTAACGCGTTGCTTTTAATTGCTAACTCAGGTGGACAGGAAGTTGGTCAAGCAAACAGTGATGACATCAGTGTACGGTGTCACATATATTGGTGCTCGTGACCAAATCAAGAGAAGATTGAAGGAGCGTGGTGCCATTGAAGATGATAATGAGTTGTTTTCAGCAGCTTGTTATGCGGCAAAAGTATGAACTTAGATTATTCAAATCTGCTTGGGCTTTTCAATATAATCATATAAATGGATTTATAGTAAAGTCATGGCATATCAAAATAAATCTGTCTATCTCAAATAGGTAATCCTTTCCTTGAGGTTAGTCCTGAAGTGTTGTCTAACAGTAATATGGGTCATCACTTATTCATATTAAAAAGAAGTAAATGTGGTTCGTCTTTTCACTGTTCTCTATACAAACTATCTTCTGTTCTATTCCACAAAACACAAAAGTCAATGTAGGGGTCCAACATTCTCCCAGCAAATGTTAGAAGTCATATTTTTATCTTCTTTCAAATCATAGTGTTGTTTAAACAAACCAAAAAAAATTGATGGGAATGAGGTCTAGTACCCATGCAAAATGTAGTATTACTCCAATCCTAAGACTTGCGTTCATATCGACTCCAACAATCAAATTTAACTTTGGTCAAACATATTTTCAGATAAATTTATGCAGTCTTACAAAATTCTAGATCTTCTACATAGTACATGATTGTACTTGCGTGTAATTTAAATCATTTTGCCATTTCATGGTGAAACATATTTCTACATTTAGTCTTGAATGTGGCTTTGGCCAACACCAAAACTTACCTTTGGGAGTCAAATTGGGATGTTTTGGGATGGAGTGAGTGGTTTGAAACATTATGTAACTACATTTAGAGGTCCTTGAGGTTGCTGTTGAATTACATGTCTATACTTTATGTTGTCTATTTAGCGTCAATGTTCCTTTAAATGCTGTTCTGTATCTGCTTATGTACTTGATCTTATTATCTTTCACACATGGTCAGACCACGTTGACTGCCTTAGGAGAGATGTTTGAAGCAGCCAGAAGTATCATGAGTTGGCTTGGAGATTGTGCAAAGGTTTGCTTTTTATTCCAATTATCACATTAATTAATTAGTTCATGTATTGAATTTTGAGTTATTAAATTAAAATTTTAGTGGTTAAACCTGTTAAGAATCTCAAGTTTGATGTATGATGCATAATTTTTGTCTCGGTAGTTGTTTAAATGTGCGCTGCAGTCTATCCCTTGATCCTAGTTCAGTGACTTCCTTGTTCTGATATTAGTACAGAAGCTGATCTTTAGGATTATATAAGCTGGAACTTAAAAAAATTTTGATGCTTCCACATGTTCTGGTCTATGCTGGATGTGAAAAGCAGTAGCATAAGCTAAAATTGCAACAACAACAACAAACCCAGGTTCCCACAAGTGGGGTTTGGTGATGGTAGAGCGTATGTAGACCTTACCCCTACCTTTGAGAAGGTAGAGACTGAATCCGAAAGACTCTTCGGCTGAGCAAACAGTGAAGAAGTGGCAATAGCAACAAATACAAACAACAGCAAGATGATAAGATATTGAAATAATAGGTAGTGATAGAAATCTAAAAATAAAAGGGGGAAGAAACGAATAATACTAGAACTCTGGGATGACAAATCATATTGTGTTACCCTCTAATTGGACTCAATGTGGTGTTAGTCAATGAATTTGAAAGTGCTTTGTTTGTAATTGTAATCTTAGGGAGGAAAACCCTTTCAGATGGGAAATGTTTTGAAGGTAAAGGAATGAAAACAAAATAATGTCAAACACCAGTATCACCTGATTATGTTGCTCCTGTTTTTTTTTCATTTCGATGGATTTTGAAGTTTTTATGGTCTCGTTTTCTTTTTACTAATGGTTAACACTTTATTATCCAGATTATTGCCATGGAAAACCAGCCTGTACGATGGACTACTCCACTTGGACTTCCTGTTGTGCAACCTTACCGCAAATTAGGAAGGCATCTTGTAATGTTCTGATGCATTCAAAGCTTAAATTGCATGGAATTTCAAACTATCTTATGTCTTTGACATATTTCATATTCGAAGATCACTAACTAATTGTGACTTTAAACTCTATGCAGATTAAAACTTCTCTTCAGATTTTGACATTACAGCGTGAAACAGATAAGGTTTGCTTGCATTTAACTTGTCTTTCTCCTTCACTCATAATGCTTATACAACAAAAAAAAAATGAATGGAATAACATGCAATTACACTGTTCGAAAACGTGAAACTAATTGGAGATGTTGGATCAATGACTGTGAATTGCAACTATAAGTTGGAAGTTAGGTGGTGTTTTCTGTTATTCATGCTCTTATCATAAATTATAGGTAATGGTTAAGCGACAGAGAACAGCATTCCCTCCAAATTTTGTTCACTCTCTTGATGGTTCCCACATGATGATGACTGCCATTACCTGCAAAGAAGCTGGCTTAAGTTTTGCAGGTTTGTATTGCTGCCTATTTTCTTTCCGGTCACATGAAATGTCAAGTGCCCGTGTGAATAAGCGTCAATTGATACATGCTAATGTTTTCATTCCAATATTGATGGCAGGAGTGCATGACTCATACTGGACACATGCATCTGACGTTGACCAAATGAACAAGATTTTGAGAGAAAAATTTGTTGAACTCTACGACGCACCCATACTGGAAAATGTAAGTTTTTTTTGGAAGTTGCCCTTCAAGACATTAATGATTCTCGCATTAAACAAACTTCAATCTACTGTAAACTGTTGTAGCCCTTCTTATCCTCATCAAATTTGCATTGGATTTTGCTTATGTTTTCTTCAAGATAAGACTGCTAAAGGCTAAAGTATAGCGTGTCACAAATTATTAACACACTATTAATTGTTAACAGTTACTGGAGAGTTTTCAGCAGTCATTCCCTGACTTGCAGTTCCCCCCGTTACCGGAGCGGGGTGATTTTGATCTAAGAGAAGTTCTGGAATCTCCCTATTTTTTCAACTAGTCGAGCAGTCTTATTTTTTCGATTTTATGTGGTCTGGTGTTTGCTTTCTCCCTACAATGACAAAACTCAATGGGATCTTCAAACTCTTGGATCGATGGCGCTAGGCCAACTGCTGCGCTGGAAGTCAAGAAACACGAGCGTATACTGACACATTGGCTGCTCCACCTGGATGACCCTGTCACATGCTACTGCAGAAAGTGGCATTGACCATACATGTTGGACAAGCTTAGGATTTCCAGGATGAGTCAGGTTGCTACGCCCATAAGCTACTCTATGAAAAGTTGTACTGAGTGAAAGCAGTCGGGCTAATGGTTTCGATGAAATATTATTCGTGTACAAGCATGTGGAGGAAGGCGTAAGCAAAAGCGAAAACGCCCTCCAGCGCTGGAAAGACAAACTAATGAAGACTGACCTTATATGACTCTACATAGTGCTGAGTAAAACAGTAAGACAATAGCTTCTTCCCCCTTTTTTACCTCAATAAAATCTTATAATTACTTGCTTTTGTACCATTTACATAGCAGGTTGTATATATATCTTTTATGGTGAAATGTCACCTCATTTTTTATACCTCTTATATCTTTATCCTAAGCTTTGTTGTAATAAGAATACAGTTCACAGATTTTTTTTTTATAATAGAAAGAAGTTATATTGTTGTTATTGTTCATGCAATTAGTACATGATATGCCAAGCAAGGACCTACTATTCCTTCCTCCTTTCCCCGATACCGACGGTGAAATAGTATTTTTACAAGATCACTAAGGAGCTCGTTTGGATGATGAACAAGTTATTTCGAGATTAGTTTTCTAACCCTCGGTGTGGGACAAAAACAACACTACAATTTCAGGATAACTAATCTTGGGATAAGTTATCACATGAATTAAGATGATTACGTAGCTTTTTATACTCTTGTGCAGTCCTCGTATTTTATGCAAAAATATAAGCATTGTAACATAAGTATTGACTATAGTTATCTTAAATTAATAACATTAAAATAACTTGCTGCAGTTGGATTTTACTGAGATTCAAAACATAAAAAAGTACACAAAGAAATCAAAAGAAATTCAACATATATATAATGTAATTATGTAATTTTCAATGAAAGGGGTTTCGATGAACTCCCTAACTATCGGTTAAGATACATTAACTTATACTGTCAGTGTATATAAAATATATAAACCTAAGATGAACTGAGGCAAGTCATTGACTAGACTGTTTAATGGTTTAGGTCACAAGAAGTAAACTCTTGTTGGATGAACAACTTCATCAAAACTTGTAAATCAACTATAACTTCACATTTAATATTCCCCCTCAACTCGTAGACATAAAAGAAGATATTTTATGATATTAAAAAGGACAGTCAGGTACACTAAGTATTTCACATTCACGTAGGATTCGGAGAAGGACCACACCTGACTGATTTCACGACTCAAATCCGTGCCATCAAATTTATGATAATAAGACACAATTTCATTCTCAACAATTTTTATACTTGCTAAATAAAAGTGGCAACCATGATAAGATAACAAGAGGCATAAGATTGATAGCACCTAAATTATATATTATGAGTTGAATTGATCAAAGTTGATGTAACTCTCTACCTACTCAATATCTACATGACAACTCCATAGAAATTGAAGTCCAATTGAAAAGTTCTTCTTCTTCTCTTTTACATTTCTTTTCTTGATTTCCCCCTTTTTTTGGACTATACAAATTGTTTTAAAAACCAAAAAACAAATTGATGATCCTACTTGCTCAAATACTAAAGTCAATTATCAAAGTAAAATAAAATAAAACAAAACAAAAGAAACATTTACTAAACATCTTGTCTTAGTACATCTGACTGAGTCTTAAATCTTGACTATTAATTGTTTCTTTCAAAATACCTACCTAAGCAAGAAAATAAATAAATCAAATTGACATCAGAAATTTTAGTAGATAATAGTTGTTAAACATGAAAAAGAAATTTTATTTTTTGTGTAGAAATGACTGATTCAGATCATCCCTTAAAATGTCTTTCTTCAAGATTTTGGAGAACTACCATATAACACTTCCCTATCGATGTATTTTTACATCCCACAGCTTCGACAGATCGCTTGGCCCCAGCCTAAGAGCAGAACTTTCTATCAGTGAACTATTACGCACTCTTTCATTATAGTTTAGCCACTGTGGATATGGACATGTCTGGCAGTATAGATTCTGATATCATACTGGTAAGCAATTAGTTCTCTTTCTTTTATTGCTAATTTCCCACATCCAAACAAGCCCTTTTAGAGTTTTAGTTGTTTTTGCTTATATTTGATTGATTACATAGTAGTAAGAGGTTCTAAATAAGTACATGATAATAGTTGAATCCATTATACTAATAACAACTTATTTGTTCTTGCATTCTATATTGCTCGGAGTCTCAAAAAATACACTACTTTTGGAGAATCTGATATGCACTAAACGGGGTGTGATTAGACTCTTTTAGGTCAGATTTTAGCTTAATGATAGCTGAAACAATGCCACATTTTTTTCGTTGTCAGGTCTAGCGGATTGTCAGTTGAACATCCTTTGTTGGAAAAGTATACTGTATATATATAAAATGATATTGCGTATGTAGGTTAAAAAGTACTTTTGAACATTCTCAGTGAAATTACTGACTTCGTCACTGCACAGGTTAATGGAGAAAGGGACAGAGTTAGCATACTTGCTGAATCCTTGTTGGCAAATATTTCAGAGTTCACAAAATCAGTAGTTTCAATAGATGTTGAAAAAGAGAATTTCATTGAGATTGGAAGCTACTTATACCGCGTTTCTGCAGTAATAATGGAGTTGCAAATAGGAAAAAATGCAACATCAAATGTCATAGAGAAATTACAATCTATGTTTGAAAATGTACATCTAGCTAATGAGATGATCAAGAAATGCCAAAAGTATAGGCAAAAAAATCAGTTGATTGAACCAAGTATTGTCATAGAACAACTTCAAGTTGTGAACAGACATATCGCGGAAGGATTGAGTCTCATACCATCTTGTTTTTATGGGGAACAAGAATGTGCAGAAACCGCGGTTAAGTCTCTCTTGAAAGATATGAAAGGTGCAGCTGCATTTGTAGCAAGAAAGAATCTGATTTCGGAGCAGACAGAGTTAGAAGTTAACATGTTGCATTCAAGGGAATTAATGACTAATGAAACAGCAGAAACAGAAACAGAAACAGATCTTTACTCCATTGATATTGAAGTTTCCATGGAGAATCTTCGATTAGCTGATTCAACAAATCTATATATAAGTGATAATTTGAGAAGCAGTATCAGCGGAGGCTTTCATTTACAGAATCATGGGAACCGGAGTCCTGGTTCTTTAACAAATTTGCCACGGATGTCTGAGTCTGAATACATGGAACCTCTATACGAAACATTCTTCTGTCCTTTAACAAAGAAGATTATGGAGGATCCTGTCACAATAGAAAGTGGAGTAACATATGAGAGGGACGCGATATCAGAATGGATTAACAAGTCTGATAATAACCGCGAAGAAATATTTTGTCCAAAGTCAGGCCAGAAGCTAAAGGGTAGAAGTCTGAGCACTAATGTGGCATTGAAAGCAACGATAGACGAATGGAAAGAAAGAAATGAAACAGCAAGGATCAAGGCTGCAAGGGCAGCATTGTCTTCAGCTACTACACAGGATATAATACTCAAAGCAATCGAAGATTTGCACAGCGTTTGCCTCAGAAAACCGTACAATAAGGTACAAGTTCGTAGCATTGGTGTAATACCGCTGCTTGGAAATTTACTGGATAACAGAAACAGAACTATAAGATGTGCAACGTTGGAATTGTTGCGGTATTTAGCTGAAGATGATGATGAGGTAATAGTCTTTTTCTTCTATCCTTGAAATGTTTTAAGTTCAAAAAGGCATACAGCTACTACTCCCTCCGTTTCAATTTGTTTGTCTGGTTTTGACTTGGCACAAAGTTTAAGAAAGTAAAGAAAACTTCAGAATTTTGTGGACTTAAACTCAAAATATACAGACTAAAAAGAAAAGAACGACAAACAAATTGACACGGAAGGAGTATAACATTTCAGATTTTATCTGTCTCCACTCTACATTGAACATAATTAGAGTATCCTCTAGACATGTTACTGAGTTGAGCTGTGGCACAAATGCAGGAAGTAATTGTTCAAACTATCGATGTTGCTACAGTCACAAGGATGCTGTCAAGTAATCACGAACCTATTAGGCATGCATCACTACGTCTTCTGCTTGAGCTATCGAAATCCCAGTTTCTGTGTTATAATATTGGGGCAGTTCCTGGAGCCATCCTCATGCTGATTACAGCCAAATACAGACATACCGATGATGCATTCATTGCAGATAAAGCTGATGAAGTCTTGAAAAGTTTGGAGAAATATCCTAGCAACATCAAACACATGGCTGAAAATGGATATCTGGAGCCACTTTTAAATAATCTTCTCGAAGGTAATCATGTACTCCCTCGTTTCAATTTGTTTGTCTTACTTTCCTTTTTTGTCCGTTTAAAAAAAAAGTCTTTTTCCTTCATTGGAAACTATTTATTTTCAACTTTCTACGTGGCATGGACATAGGATTAAAGGACATTTTGGTACAATCTACATATCTTTAGATTAAGACCACAAGATTCTAAAGTCTTTGTTTTACTTTCTTAAACTTCCGTTTCAAGTCAAAACCAGAGAGACAAACTGAAACGTAAACTATAGACAAGTATCAAAGAGGTTGATTCCAAATTGAGTCTTTTTTGGTGTCGATTTTAAATTCAAGTAACTGACTGTTACTACTACCAAAAAAACTTGAGTAGGCAGTGAAGAGATGAAAATGGAGATGGCACGATACCTCGGGGAAATTGTTCTTGGACCTGACAACATAATCTATGTTGCTGAACGAGTTTCTCCGACTTTGATCAAAATGATAGAGAGTGGAGATACTTTGAGCAGGAATGCAGCCTTTGTAGCTCTACAACAAATTTCTTCTCACCATCCAAATGCTAACACACTAGTGCAAGCTGGCCTTGTCCAAATCATGATTGATGAGATTATCTCTCGAACGATGATTCACGATGAGCCAATGAACTCGAAGAAAGAAGCAGCTGGTATACTTGCAAATGTGCTCGAGTCTGGATTAGATCTAGAGAATCTTCAAGTTAACGAGCGTGGCCACACATTGGCTTCTGATTACATGGTATTCAACTTCATCCAGAGGATCAAGAACTCAACCCCTGAAGAAATGAATTTTCACCTTGTTAGAATCTTGATATGCCTGATGAAGTATCCCAAAGCATCGTCTACCGTTACCTCTGTGATCAAAGAAACAGATGCTAGCTACAATCTGATCGAGCTCATCAATAACCCTGACGAAGAACTCAGCATTGCAGCACTTAAGCTTCTTATCACTCTCTCTCCTTTCATGGGACACACAATTTCAGACAGATTATGCAAAACCAAAGGACAACCCGAGAGCCTAATTCACAATCCATCTGAAAGTCCTCGAATCACAGAAAAGCAAGCAGTCTCCGCGACTCTTCTTGCAAAGCTTCCCCACCAAAACATGACACTCAACCTAGCATTGGTCAATAAGAACACAATCCCTACAATCATAGAACAAATCAACAAAATCCATGTCAGTGGGACAAGAACAAGCAGGTATTGCTAGTTTTTTAAAAGATTGTGAAAATATTGGTTGAAAAATATCTCTCAATATTCTTATTAATCGTATAGAAGGTCTTTAAACTTAATACACAAAATTTTCAACAGGTACACAAGTGCATATTTTGATGGTCTAGTAGGAGCTCTTGTCAGATTGACAACAACACTCTACGATCATCAAATCCTGCACGTAGTAAGAACGTTCAACTTCACGTACATATTCACAGAGTTACTCGTGAAAACATCAAGCGATGAAGTCCAAAAGTTATCCGCGATTGGTCTAGGGAACTTATCAAATCAATCAATCAACTTATCAAAACCACCACCAATCAAGAGCAACAAGTACATAAAATCTCTTCTACTAAGAAGATGTATGTCTCTCCGTTCAAAGTCCGAAAAAGTACCATTATGCTCAGTCCACCGAGGCGTTTGTTCTGCTGAAGATAGCTTCTGCTTAATTGACGCTAAGGCAGTTGAAAGGCTACTGTCCTGTTTGCACCATGACAATGTGGAGGTAGTTGAAGCAGCATTATCAGCTATATCGACTTTACTAGACGATAAAGTCGATATAGACAAGAGTGTTAAGTTACTGATTGAGATGCAAACCATTCAACATGTACTGAATGTGGTGAAGGAACACAGAGGAAATGTCTTGTGGCACAAATCATTTTGGCTTATTGAGAAGTTTCTATCAAAAGGTGGGGACAAATCTGTTTCTGATATATCACAAGACAGGTTGTTTCCTGCTACTGTAGTCAGTGCATTTCAACATGGTGATGTTTGCACAAGGGAAATGGCTGAAAAAATCTTGATGCATTTGAACAAAATGCCACATTTTGCAAACACAGCTAGTTTTACCTTGTAATAATGTACAGAGGTCTTGAATTAAACAGACACAACGAACATTGCTCGTGAAGGAACATGACTATTCTGAATAGCCATGATCTCTTAAGTTTCTATAAATATAAGGACGATCTCCTGAAGTAACGTAAGAAAAATCTGTAGGTATAAACACGTGCTTTGTTGTATCCCAAAGGAAATTACTTTTATTTCCCCTACTCATAGCCATTTCTTCTCCGGTTATCTTTTCCTATTTTGCTAACAAAAAATCAAGTTGATTTCTCATATGATCACTCAACTTATAATCTCATAAAATCACTTTGCTTGTCGAAAAAATTGAAAACAAGAAAAAATAAAATCTGATATGGTAACTATTAGTTGAATCACCATCTGAGAATCAATGCATAAAATTCTTTTAGTGACATTTAATAAAAATATTGTTAATATTTTTGTTTTGTTCATTTTTGGTTGAGAATTTGCTACTGATATTAATATGAAAAAGATGAACTGTCATTTCATGTTTATATAATTGCATCTAGTGGGGTTTTCTTTTATGAAGCCCATTACATTACAACAAAATTATATTATATGATATATATACGTACCAAAAATTAGGCAAAAATGTCACTCCATATATAGTTACGAAAAAATATTTACAAAATACTGCACCGGGGTACGTATGTTGTACATCTTTTTTAAGGGGGGAATTTTATAAATGGGTATAGACGGATAAATATTTTATTATATTGAATCTTGATTATTATGAAAAGATATAATTGGTAATTTGGTATAAAAGAAATTAGTATACACTGTTATTTGACAGAGAACCATATTGATCATATGGTATGCTTTAGTTCAACATCGCATAATACAAATATATATTTTAATTTTTTTTCAAAAAATAATAATTATATGCTTTAGTTCTCTTTAAATGCCAACCAAACCAAATATTATCAACAACTACTCAGGAATCAGAATAATCCCACAAGTTGTGTTGCATAGACAAACCGCAGATCCTACTCCGAAGGTCCCTCGGCTCAAGTAAAACTTATCAAAGCAGGTTTAAAAAGGAAATACAATAATAAAAAACCATGTTGAAAACACTAGCAACAACATAATATAGTAATTGAAGTTAAAGAAAATAACAGATAATAATAAAATCAAAAGAACAAGATATAATAGGAGAGTATAATAATAATAATAATATTGATAAGGAAAACGGAAGTATACCACTCGATTACCTACTAACATTCCACCATTATCTTGATCGTCATGTCCTCGATAAATTTAAAATGTGTCATATCTTATCTAATCACCTTTCTCCGGACCAAATATTATCAGTTTCAATAAATCAAATCAAAGGTGCACCTGTTGCATCTTTGGCAAAAATGTTTGGCCGGCTGTTATGAGACAATCGCCCACAAAGCTTTAAATATCTAATCAGGCCCCTCTCTAATTAAACTAATAAAAAGAGATTTCAAGAACATTCAACATATATTCAGTTTAAGACCACAAAATTCAAAAATCTTCTTTTACTTGCATCACATCAAAACTTGACAATCAAATTGAAACGGAGGGAGTATATCTTTGCTGAATCCTTTGAACAAAAAGAAAAACTTATCATATAAATGAGAAGAACTTATGAGTGAAGTAGTTCATCAATCACTATTAAGACTGTACGTTACATTTGTACAGGAGTTAACTAGAACCATAGACACTGTCAAAGTGAATGCATTTCAAATTTGTGTGGATATATGCACAACGTGCATACCCAGAGACTAGTATAAGTTAAAGGTGTCCATACATTGATTGCATCACAGGATTTTTTTTTCTCTAGTTTTTTCTCTGTTTGAGAAGAAGAAGATGGCTTCTTTCGCGATCGAGGACTTTGTTGGAAATGGATGTCTGCAGGGACTTGTTTCAATGCTGCTTGAGGAAGGATGGGATGATGTACCAACATTGAAGATTATGAATGTAGATGATATGAACGAGTTGAACATGACTCAACGGCAAAAGGTTCTTTTTACTGATAAATTTATTCTTCTTGTATATAATATATATCCAGAAAATTGTGTGTGGTTCATCTTCATACTCTTCTGCAAATCTGTGTCGACAACTGAGTACTTGTGTTTTCCTAGAAAAAAACCATTTCTAAGAAATAAGAATTAAGTAGCAACAAAAGAAACAAGTGTTATGCAAGAAGTAGTAAATGCCGAGTTGATTTATGGGATGGTTACTTAACTAATACAATAGTTATTATCTCAGAAAGTCACCCTTCTTTAGAAATGGTTGCCTCTAAAGAAAGTGACTTTCTGAGATAATAACTATTAGTTGAGTGATCATCTAAGAATTTCTCAACCCAGTAAATGCCTCTATTCCCATTTGAATGATTATTGCCAAAACAAACTTTGACTAGGAACTTGTTAAGCTTGTTTATTGCACATCTGAAAAGTTATGGAAACAAAATAGGCTATTCTTCTGATGATTGTATCTTTCCTACTCAAGGATGCGCTGGAAATCAGGTCATACCTGCATGATCGATCTCTGATGCAATATGCGGATAAGTTTGAGGAGTCTGGGAATTCCCTTACTAAGCTTCTTAACCTAAGTACGGTAGATCTTGCTTCAAAGTTTGGAATGAAAAGGGGCCATGTTGCCCGTTTTACAGACAGAACTGCAGCTTCTGGGGGAGATTCTTTGTCAGAAATCTATAACCTCCACATGAGGAGAAGAACCACCTCGAGAAATGAGAGTCTTTACAGGAAGGATATTTCTCCTGTCACCTCCAGGAAGCAAAGTATGACAAGATCCCTTAGAAGAACCAAGACAGATATATCCCTTGAACAATCAATGGCTGAATTGGAAATTAAAGGTGGACATGTTTTTAAGGGAATTGTAGCTTCAATGCCTGACGAGCCTAGAGCATGTGGCTGTGTGCAGCCCACCCCTGTAGTTGAGACTGTTGCTCCTTATTCTTCCATAGAGAATATTTCAGTTCAGAAACTAACACCAGAGTACAAGATTGGAATGGAGCGTCTGGTGAAAACAAAGACTGCTACGATGAAGGCTTCAAAGCTCTGGCGTGATAAACCAGCAGTGTTTGTATGCATTCGTCGCCCTGGGTAAAGCATCAACTCATTTCTCCAATTCAAACCTATAAGTTATCAAATGTAGCTCAGTTGTTGTCCTATGTCTCGAATATAGGATATTATACATACTATGGTAAACAGGAAAAAAGACACCACTTGCAAGAATTTTACGGGATTAAGGAAACTCTAAGAGAATTTCTGCACAAAACTTCAAACATAGTAGAAAATCCAATAATCTTTGTTATCCCACTAAACTATGATGCATTGATGAAGCATGCAACCTAGGAATGTTTTTTCCTTTAAAGAACAAGTATTTATGGCCTGGACACCATGGTTATTCAAAAAAGAAGAAGGGGGAATTTATATTTTATAAGAAAGAATATGAAATTAAATTTTTATCTATGAGCATGATTTACTCAATCTCATACCAAAAAGACTATGGAAACAGGTGCATCATGTGTAGAGCTGAAGCCCACCAACTCTATGCAAGGAAACCAATATTTGATGCTTTGGGGGTTCAGTTATTTGCTGTTCTTCATGAGCAAATAGAATCAGAGGTAACTTTTTTCCACCTTTTTTTGTTGACATTTCTATGGAAGGACCTGGTATATTATGCTGGGTTTTGTTATCCAGGTAACGGATTTCTGGCCTCGATACTGGGGTGGTGTAGTCCTCTTTGACAGAAACATGGGATTTTATAAAGCTCTGGGAGGTGGGAATCTGCTAAAAGACAAATTCATATCAGGTTTTCTATTAAATCCTCGAGCTATTTCAAATTATAGGCGAGCAAAAGCTATGGGGGTGGATCAAAACTTCAGGGGTGAAGGTGAGACAAAAGGAGGACTCTTCATTGTTGGCAAAGGAAAGAGTGGAATTGCTTATCAATTTATTGAAAGGAACTTTGGAGACTGGGCACCCCTTGCTGAAGTTATTGAAATCTGTCGCCGCTTACAGGTAATGTTTTCTGGCTTCTCTCGTAAGCTCATTGTAGTATTCAGCTGTACACCTATGTTTTAGTCTAATGAGTTTTTTGCATATATTCTAGAATCCACAGGAAAGTCAGTTAGAGTCTATCACATCTATACAACAAGAGGATTAGCTATGGTCGTTGCTTCTATCGATCGAAGCCCTCCTATTGAACAGCTAAACAGAAGCTATGTCTCTTCTAAACTTCAAGTTTTATGTTTCATTACCACAGTCCACAGTTGCTTCATTGTAGGAATAATTTCCTTGACATTACTGGAATGTATTTGTGTCGAGTCTATTGAGACAGGTTATGTATCTGTGTCCGTTCAATCACATAATGCAGAAAGTGTCAATCTGTAGATTGTACTTAGCTAGCTAGTACACCAGATATTCATTGGTAACTTACGAACACATTGGGCAATGTTTATAACTTCATCTCATAAAGTATATACAAAATGCAAAAGGAAGAAAATTCTCAAAATTCGGTAGCTTTCCTAACAGCAGAAAACTGGCTTTCTTGTATGAGATACAAAAAAATCATTTGCCACTCCGATCCAAAAAAATATTTATAGAAAGAAGGAAAATATGTCATCCCCGTCCTCTTTTTCCATTGCACCATTTAAGCAAGAATTAAATTAGTTCATGCTAGAAAGTTACTTACCAAAAGAAACAAATGTCAAAGATTTATTCTATGTATTTAGGTTAATACTATAGAATATTTTCCTTCTTTCTGTCGAAGTTATAAATCTAGGTATTTAGAGAATTTATTTATTGAAGACCCTTTCTTTTATTTTCTTTAGTCTAGACGTACCTTATTTCTGATAGTCTAAACTCCTAAGGAACCCTCTTGTATATTGTCCACAAACAATTAAGACAAATTTCTTTTTTATTCTTTTTCTACATTTCACATGGTTTCTGAACTTCTACCATCTTGGTAGACCTAAGAAGTTTCTGTCTACTGACCGGGATTCTTATACCACCTGCCCTGCGGGAAGTTTCTTATTTTCATAAGCTCAGTATTCTTGTTTCTTTTTGGTGACAATCCTAAAGGAAAACATTCTCCATAACTTTTTCTCATCTTTTATTCATGGTATTGGAGGTTAAGTATTGAGTCTCTCCTGCAAACATTAGATTTCTTGATGCTATACCCCGCAAAAGTCTTCTGTTCTTCCTTTTCTTTATATTATCAGAGTTTGAGCACTTAATCTATCCTTTGAACATTAAAATCTGATAAATGTCTTGGGGAAATCTACTTCTCATTGTTTTTATTCATAATATCAGAGTTTCAGTAATCTTCTAGAAGAATCTTCACTTCTTTTACTTCGTGGAGTTAAGAGTTTGGATAACAAGTCCCTCATCTAAACCTTGAAATTCTGGTCATTGTTCCAACAAAGTTATTAGTTATTCTGTAACCGCTAATTTAAGCTATTCTAATGATGTCCTGGAGATTTGCGACACCATAGCTTCCTTTGTGTGGTGCTAGATGCACCTTGCTAAGCTGTTGTATTTAATCACCGCTAATTTCTATTTTGGTGATTGTGAACTATTCCCAATACACTATTTAGATGATATCTGCAGAAGACCTTCACAATAACTTTTTTCTGGCATACTCGACTTCAGTTTCCTGTTTTGATGTGCAAACTCAAGTTAATTGATCATCTTGAGAGTTGAGCTTGAAAAGGCACGTTCGAAGTCAAAAGGGTTACAACAGTCATGTGTTAGAATGCTCTAGATTCGTTCGATGTTTAGGTTAAACGTATATAATATTCTTCATAATTAAGAATCATAGTACTTACTGAGGCAATATTCCTTATTTTATAGCTAACCTTTTCTCATGTAGTCTTGACTAACGTTACTTTTAGTAGCTTAAACTTACAAGGAACATCTTATATATACAGTCTACAAGCAAATTCGAGACAACTTTTCTTTTTGTCTATATTTCCACCCATATACAACAAAGTTTAACATGCAATTTGAAACTTTTGACTACTGATGTGTTTATGAAGTGAAAGCTACAATAGAATATTGAAAACATACAAGGAGCTGTATTTCTTCAGTATAATCAGATATTTTAAGTTTAACTTACATTGTTAAGAGGATCAGTAGCCTCCTAAATCAGATACTCCTCGTTTTAGGCTTGCATGCTACTTATGGAAATTGATGAGCTCCGAAGTGAAGTGCTTATGAGAATGGCTCCCCAGCCTTCTAAGTTGAACCATTAGATATACCACGAACATACATACACAAGACTCTCATGGGAGGCAAATGTATCCTTTCAAGAGAACCAGCGTGATTATTCCTTCCTCATATGATACATGTAACAGTCCTCGTAACTGATTCAAAATTGTGGGAAAACTATCACCAGAAATCTCCACAAGAACATTTTCCATCCTTAAATAAATGAAATCTAACCGCATCTCTTACAAGAATTTCTCTTTGGGTGATCTTAGAAATGATTTTAGTTGCACTATGGCAGTCACCACATACCCTTAGGTTTTTTACCACTCTTATTGGGATCCCAGGGGGGATAAAGATCAAACCAAAGGCAATAGCAAGTCTCTCGCTGTGGTGGTTAAGCAATTTTATTTTATCAGACTCTTCAACTCTATGCATGACATGAGTTACGTCTGGTACATAACCCTCGTCTATCATTTTAGCATTCAATTTCTCCAGTTCTGCATATATTTCATCTGAAAATGGACTTGACTTGTCATCAGCAGAGAAAATGTGCACTCTGTTTTTATATTTGATCCAACTACATCCTGGCTCTTTCCTCACACCTCTATCTCTCATGGCCCTTCTTAATTGAGCCACTTCAGCCCAATTTTCTTTCGCAGCATACATACTTGTGAGCAAGACATAGCTGGCAGGATTTTCTGGATCAAGTTCCAAAAGGGACTCTGCTGCCCATTTGCCAATTTCCATGTTACCATGGGTTCTACATGAGCTCAACAGTGTAGCCCAACCAATTGAATCTGGGGTGCAAGGCATTTTCTGTATAAAATCTTTGGCTTCTACTAAACGTCCAGATCGACTAAATAGATCAATCATGCAAGTAAAATGATCAAGAATAGGTGTAATTCCGTGTTCTTTCACCATTGATTCAAAATAAACTTTGCCTTTGTCCACAAGTCCGGCCCTACTGCAAGCTGAAAGAACCCCGACAAAAGTTACTCCATCTGGTTGAAGACCATGTTCCAGCATTTTCTCAAATAAATGAATTGTTTCAGTTGCTTTTCCAAACTGAGCATATCCTGACACTAATGCCGTCCAAGAGACCTCGTCCTTAACAGACATCTCATCGAAAAGCCTGTGAGATACTTCTATGCTGCCACACTTACCATATAGGGTTACAAGTGCATTAGAAACAGTAATGAAAGATATCAAGCCTGACACCAATGCTCGACCATGAAACTGAGCTCCTTCTTCCAAGCTCGCCAGATTTGCACATGAGCTTATCACGCTTCCTAAAGTAAAATCGTCTGGCTCAACTCCATTCCTTTGCATGTCGCAGAAAGCCTTAACAGCTTCTTCGCTAAAGCCATTCTGTCCATATCCAACGACCATTGCAGTCCAAGAGACAATATTTTTGTTTGGCATTCTACAAAAAGAAGTCTCGGCATACTTGATGTTTCTACACTTTGAATACATATCAACAAGGGCACTACCTACAAACACGTTCTCACTGTGATAGGTTCTGACTATATAAGCATGAAGCTGTTTGCCTTCTTCGATAGCCCAGAGGCCTCCACAAGCAGTCAAAATACTCCCAAATGTGAACTGGTCAATAGGCAGCCCCTCTAACCTCATTCTCCTAAACAAGACAAGTGCTTCCCTGTCAAGACCATTTTGTGTTAACCCCGTTATCATCGTTGTCCAAGAAATGGAATCCCTCTCAGGCATATCTTGAAACAAACTTTTCGACTCTCTAACCATCCCAGACCTCAAAAACCCCATAATCATTGTATTATACATCACCACATTCCTTTCTGGCAACTCATTGAAAACTTTTTCAGCCTCATAAATAAACCCTGCTTTAGCATACATATCAACCAACGGACTACCCACGAAAACATACGACTCAAATCCCCATTTCACTATCTGCCCATGAATTTGCCTACTCATTCGAATCCAACCATTATCCGAAGACAATATAAGCATCGTCGAAAACGTTATCCTATTCAAACTCATTCCCCCATCTTCTAACATCAACTTATACGCCTCTAAAGCATCAATAGCTAAACCTCGAGATGCATACCCCGAAATAATCAAATTACAAGACACCCCATCTCGCTTTGGCATTCGATTGAACACGTCTAGCATTCTCGAGAGGTTTCCAGACTTCGAATAAACAGAAAGAATGGTGTTCCATGAAAACTGGTTTGGTTGAGGTATTTCTTCAAACACTTGGCGTGCATACCCAGTGTTATTGAGTTTACTGTAAGCATTTATGAGATTGTTAAGCAAAAATGTTTCTGGGTTTGCTATAGTTTTGAGAATGAAGCAATGAAGCTTCTTGATTTGGTTCTGGTTTTGGGATTCACACCAAAGTTTGAGCAGAGAACAGTAATGATTGGAAATATGAGACATAATGTTCATAAGAGGGGAATTGGCGGGTAGTTCGGTTTCATTTATAGTACTCCCTCGTCACAATTTATGTGAAGTTGTTTGACTGTTCACCAAGTTTTAATAAATATTAAATTTTTTTGTAATGTTTCAATATTATTGTTTAAGTAAATAAAGAGAGAATGTATTGAAAATACTCCAAACTTAACGTGAATTATTAGTTTCGTTTCCGAACAATTGACAGCATATAAACTTCATAAGGTTGTTTTGAAGCCTCATTTTTCACCAACCTATTTACGAGTTGTTGATCAATCTACGGTTCGTCCAGTCAACTCATAGATTGACAAATTTTTGTATTAATTATAACTTAACTTTAAAATGTTCATTTTACCTTTATGAAATAATTTATTGCCACACAAATATTTATGATTTATTTTAAATCATAAATTTTGAAAATCTATTTTGACCTAAGTGAATTGTTTTCAATTCCAAGTTGATTTTTTGATAATTGTGATGTTCAAGCCCGTTAACAGACGCATTGCTATCCTTAATAAGTGGAGTTTGGAGAGGACGATGTATACGCATATGCAAACAGGCCTAAGTGAACTGTTTTCGATAGACCCTCAGTTGAGCTCACACCGACCCTCAGTTGAGCTCATATGTGTGATATGATAAGGTAAAAGATTCCTCATTTATTTATTTTTAATAATTATGATGTTCAGATCAGTTCACGCATATCTAGACCAATCCGGGGGCCTGCTAACTCCACCAGCACAAATCTTAATGGAAAAAATGATCTCGAAAAGAAGAATTACTCACTAACTTAAATAATATTAGAAGCAATCATTAATGCTTGCATTAGAATAGTACGATAGGTTGTTTACATCACCCCTTGAAGTGCAACTCTTCCCCGGACTGTGTGCACGCGGAATGTTTTGTGTACCGAGCTATCCATTTTAAAGTCTCAGAAATATCATGCATGACAAGTTTTCTGAGAATCAACCTTACAGTCAACAACTCCATCAGATTCTGTGTATTATTTTGCAGTAACTGAACAAAGTTTTTATGTAAATAATGCTTTGGAAGAAAAGAAGCATGAACATCATTTACTTTTCCCAGGCCATACAATTTGCAAGTTCTTCAACATGGAATGAACATGAAGAATATAAACATCTCCGCAACGAAAGATTCAAGAATGCATCAACAAAACATTAGTTCTTGAACCTTCATTTGCTGTTGTTGATCTGAAGAACGTCAATCTCATGGAATGAATTTTCACTCTCGTGCTACTAGCCGACTGTGTCACTTATGAAAAGGAGATGAATGCACTGTGTTAACAAATACGCGTTATGGACTTGCTGTACAGACTCACTGGGAATTCCGGATGGGGGGTCTCGTGCAAATGTGAAATAGGAAGAACTCTCGGTGCAACACACTTCCCAGATAACATAATCAGTGCACCTAATTCTCCCAATAACAGTTAAAAGTTAAGCATATTTGGTATCTACGATGAGTCATGGTTCTGCTTTCATTTGTCCTGATGGTAGAGAACCTACAAACAGAGAATTTTCAGGATTACTAGAGACGATGATGCTAATTTATCGTAGAAACATCACGTAGGGGCATCAAATACCACTTAAATCTTGACTAGATGAGGGTACACTTGAATTTAACCCCATTTGGACAACATTATGTAGTTCATTATCCCATTCATTCGGTGCCTGGAGATCATGCAAATTAGCTCAAATGATTAGTAGACCATCGACTAAGATTTGCTTATGCTACAATAGTTCAAGAACCACAAATGTTACCTGAGATGACGGATCCTTGTAGTCGCCAGGCCCACAACTAGTAGTGGCTAAATGAGGATTGATGGCTCTACGAAATGCTTCACTAGGAAATCCATAACCAGGAAGACTAGATTGAAGCATTCCAGCTTGCGGTGGATGTAAGGGAGGATATGCCAAGGTCATATCAGGTGGAAAAGCGAGCGAGGATGAAGGACCTGCTCGAGACTGGAGGATCTGCGACAAAGGGAATATTTTTATTCAAGCATTAGGTGGAATTCCAACAATGCTCGGCTACACGTCATACTCAGAAAAGAGAACTACTTACATCTTTTGCCAGGAGACTATCAATATCAAAATCCAGCCGCGGGTTTACTGTTGCAAGCTTCATTGAGAGGAACTGGAACAAAAAGGAGTCTAGTCATCCTTAAGATACTAGAATGCTTAACACAAAATTAGCAAAAACATCTTAAAATCAATCAAGAGCTAGAGTTCACATATTTGTAACGTGAATGCATGTACTAAGAATTCCTCAAGACCACATTAACCAGCCACCAGGATAATCAAGCCAGCAATATTGTGAAGCAATCAAATCATCACTAAATATTTTGACAATTGAGCATTCCAAAGGAAAGAAGGCACCATTATTAATGTGAAGAGTACGATCGAAGAAACGTGAGAAAGAAAATAAGTTATTTATTCCATACCTCAACCTGCCTTTGCAAAGACTGTACATAGTTAATGATTTCATCCAGCATCACAGCTTTGCCGGTGACCTGCAATCATCACCTCTTTCTCAAGTAACTAAAAACAGAAAAGTCCCAACTAAAATTTCTAATGTATGCTATAATATAGCATATGCCTACTGAAATCACTAATATAGGCTGAGTAGGTTGCTCGGACTCTCCAAAAATGTTGCCGCATCCATGTCGGATCCTCCAAAAAATGCACTACTTCCGGAGGATTCGACACACACCCATCAACATTTTATGAAGAGTCCGAGCAACATAGCGCCTGCTACACCATACTAGTTGATTCCAATAATACCAACCTTGTTACAACCAGGCACAAGATCCTGAAGATACTTCATCCGTTCACTGATTTTCTCCCTCCTTATCTGTAATCAAAACCATTCAAATTAGTACCAAAACAAATAAAATATGAGATTTAATAACTTGGAAGCTTCTAATAGAAGTCTTACTCTTTCTGCAAGACTATGGCTATTTGTTGCCTGGCCTCTTCGAGCACGAACATGTATATATTCTTCTTTGGTTGGATCTGAAAATTGAGACCCCTGTTTACCATTCTTTCCACCAGGCTTGCTGGCAATCGAATTCAAGTTTTGTTCCCCTTTCTGAATTTCGGGTGGTGGCTGCTGTGCTCCCTTCATTTGATCAGGTTCAGTATCCTGCTAAATTACAAGAACATTCAACAAGGAACTATCTTGTGAATGAACAATAGCCAGTGGAGTCTAGGGAGGTTAAAGTGTACGCAGACCTTACCCCTACCTCAGAGGTAGAGAGGTTGTTTCCCGATAGATGCTCGGCTCAAGAAAAACAATCCAAAGCAATTCAGAAAAAGATATAACGGAAGTACAAGAAACAACAGATAGTAACAAAAAGAACAGATAGTTATCTGTGTGAACGATCAAACGAAATCTACTAATGATGGCCTACCTGACCACCTCTTTTCCTTTTCTTTGAGCCAATATTCTTTCCACAAGACTCCTCACCGGCACCATCCATTTCTTCTTGGAGGCCGCTACATCCTGCTTCATCAGACTCACTACTAGAGACTCCAGCAACTTCTTTTGCTTCATCCTGGGACTTAGCAAAATTTTCACTCTTTTTCTCATTCTTGAGGGGACTTCTCTCTGTGTCCCTACGAGCAACGGTTAAAGAAACATCCTTAGAACTTTCAGCCACATTACTCAAATGCTGCAGCTTCTGAGGTGATTTCAACCCATTACTTGCCAAAACCTCTTGAGGACCCTGCATTGGTGTCAATCCCTTATAATAAGGATTCATCGATGACTCGGGGATGCTAAAAGGGTTCATCATATCACCAAAGTTCCCTCCACTAAAGCAAGAAAACCTTGCAGCTCTTTCAATAAACCCCGAATCAGCCGGAAACTGAGCTAAGCTCTGCGGAAGCATCATCGGAACAGGAGGTAGAAACATACCCCCTTTCAACATAGCATTTGATGGAGTCCAATTAGGACCAAGTGTTCTATCAACACCAGCTCTAAAAGGTCCTAAATCCATTTGAACACTAGCATCACAAAAGCCTAAATTTGATGAATTGGTGGTAGGCTGATCCCAAGTAGTAGGACAAAATGAATCCACCATTCCCATAGATGAATTAGTCAAATTACTCCCATTTAATTGCCATTCTGAAGAAATATTTGGTGACTGATAGTTCATTGACACTTCTTGATCATTCCCCTTTTCTGGTTCACTGTCATTCTTGATTTCTATATCCATATTTTTCTAAGTACAGAAAAACTTAACCAAACTTCTCTTTAACCACTTGAGTATCAAGCAAACAACCTAAAACATTGAAATTCAACATACTGGGAACTTAAAGTTTTCATCTTTATGCATTTAACTATCCTCAACAAAGATCATACAACCAAATATGTGAACAAATTATCCAACAAAACAAGATTTTTCAGGTGAACAAAGTATGTCTACCAGAAGATTCACTCAGAACTAGAAAAGCCCCAAATACAAAAAGTCCATACAGAACAAGAAACAGCAAGCACTGCTTTCAAATTCACAAAAAAAGTCCCCACCCCACCCCCTTAATGTCCAAGAAAACACAACCCCATTTCAACAAAGAGCTCAAAAAAGCAGTAAATTGAACAAGTCATTAACTTGCAGCAACCATAAATAGCTCATTTAAAGTAAAAACCCTAAGTCACAGTAAAGAACAGACCACCCCTCAAAATTTCTCAAACTGCTCAGACAGCTCTGAAATAGAGAAAAAAAAGAACAGACTAAAAGTGGGGTGAGGAGGAAAAAGATACCTTATTTCAGATTGTGTACTACTACTTTTGGTACTCTATTACACCATTCTTGAACAGATTTTCTTTTCTTTTTTTACTGAAGAGAAGGGATAAAAATCAATTCTTTAACTTTTTGGCTACTGCTTTTCTTTTCTTTACTTTTTCTGAAAGAGTTACCGCGACAACTTTGACGTAACTGATAAAGTTATTATTCTGTCAAGCTGTTTTTTGCAAAAACATAAAAAATGTAGCCAATAATAAACTCTTGT